TGCCCTTCTGGTCTGCCCTCCTCAGGAGGGCTCAGCCTAGCCAGCACCACCCCAAAGCCTCTCTCGGCCCCTGTGGCTGGTCTAACACTGCTAGCTTCCATCCTGGCCTTGGCGGTAGTCTTTCAAGTGCCTGGTCCTTTATGATATTGTTTACCCGTTACTTTCCCCCTCTCTACTCCATTGTCATCTGGGATGTCCACATCTCATACTTGGACTGGAATCCAGGCTGTACTCTGAATTCCAGCTCCCTGGAGGCAGCAGATGATGGCTGGCATTAGCTGGGTCCCTGCAACCTCTGTGGGAGACCTGGATGGAGCTTCTGACTCCTGGCCTCAGCCTGGTCCAGCCGTGGCTGCTGCGGGCATTTGAGAAGTAAACCAGCAGATGGAAGAGCTCTTTTTCCATACATGTTTCTTTTTGCATTTTTCAAATAAAAATAGTAAAATTTAAGAAAATAACTGTTCAGAGAATCAGCAGGGGGCACCATGGGTGACGTGCCTGGGCATCTCTGCCAGTGTGAGGCCTGGCACCCTCCACGACCCTTCTCAGTGCTGTTCAGAAGGGTGAGACTCAAGATCTGGGGGGTGGGAGGAGGCAGCTGGGCTCTTCTTGGTCAAGAACTGGGAGCTGGGGCTGGCGTTGTGGCACAAAGGGTCAAGCCACCAGCTGGCATCCTATAGCATCACTGGGTTCACATCTGGCTGTTCCGCGTCTCATCTGGCTTCCTTCTATTACACCTGGGAAAGCAGTGGAAGATAGTCCAAGTGCTTGGGCCCCTGCATCTTTGGAGACCTGAGGGAGAGTTCCAGGTTGTTTGGGGAGTGAACCAGTAGATGGAAGCCCACTTTCTCTCCTTTTCTCTCTCTCCCAGTCTTTCACATAAATAAAAGTGAATTTAAAAAAAAGGAGCTCACCACCAAGATCTGAGCTGCATGACAGGAATCTGTGCTAGTTTTGCAGGGCCAATTATCATCCCGCACCCTCGGCCTTGTGTCTCAAGGCCTCTCTGCAGGCTGCCCTGCAAAGAATCTTGAAAAGCCGCCCCCTGCAGTCCTCGCTCCAGGGGTAGGGAAGAGGGGACTGGCTTGGTGACATCTCCAAGCACACAAATGCTCCCTGCCCTGCCCACGCTCTCAGTGCTCCAGCAGGGAGGTGAGTGGGCACTTTCTGGGCACAGCACCTGATGGCCTGCCCAGCTGCGATGAGCGAGAACAGTGGTGGGGCTGGAGAGACAGGGTGGGCTGGAGCTCAGAGCTGGTGGAGCCCGTCCCTGGTGGACCACATCCCGCTCCGGCTGGCTGGCTGGCAGGCAGGGAATCTGTTTACCAACAAGCAGGAAGGAGCCCATTGTACTTGAGGTTACAGAAGCGGAAAGAAATCGGTGAATAGAAGTTCAGGAGCCAAGAAGTTGGGCTCCAGACAATAGATAGGAAGGGAGGGGAGGTGTGGGAAGGGGCCGGAGAAGTGCAGGTGCGCCAAGGCCACCCTGGGGACCGAGAAGGGACCCTTTATCCTTGGGCTCCTGCATTTGATGGACAAGGCTCTCACAGACGCTGGGAGGCAGGTTGCCCCTGGCTCCGATCCAGCAGGGCTTTTCCCATCCACATTTCCCTTCTGCCTCTCACTTGCTCCACGACCTTGGACAACAGCTTGAGCTCCCCATAGAGCTGGGCCTTCCTCGTTGAGCTCCCGTGGGGGTCAGGGCGCTGATATCTGAGGTATGAAGAGTTCAGCATCTCTCCTGTGGTGGCTGTTTAGCTTGTGGCTTAGACCAGAGGGCAGCTCCCATCTGTGCCAAGGCAAGGCCTGCCAGACATGGGGGTGTACCGGGAAGGACCGGATGCCTCTCGCGTCAGTGATGGCTGCCATTTCCTCATCTCTCCCTCCCTGCCCCACTTCCGCAGGGGTGACGTGTGGCCTGCTGACCTGCCCGAGAACCCTGCTCTCAGATGGACTCAAAGAGGCAGTACTTACACTAGCTGGCATGGTGATTCCACACTAGGGACACAGCTGACAGGGAAGACCCCAGTCCCCAGAGCCCCATTTTATTCTTCCCTATAGAGTACCCTCACAGTATACATCTGGATAATGGGATAACATATCCCACTCCCCAGCGCACAGAGCCCCAGCCCCGCAGCCTGGGCTGCTGTTTTTCAGGGGTGTCCGGAGCCAATGACCTCATGTGCTGCCCGTGGTCCCTTCTCTTCTTGTCTCTCCTGTACTTTCCTCACCAGGGCCAGGGGCTCCCATCCCCCATGGCTGGTGCCACACTGCCTGTCTCGCAGGACATGGTCCCCTCTAGGGACTTCTTAGAGACTCCTGGGGGGGCGCTGCTCCTGGAGTCCCCTACCCCAAGATTATATGGTGGTTGGGTCTGTGGAGCGTTGCCCCCAGGCCTTGTTAGTGTGGGTACCAGGGTGGGTCAGGATGGGTACCGCACCTGCAGAGGCTCCAGGCTGGAGCCGGGTTGCATGCTGTGGGGTGTTGGCTTGGACAAGGTGAGGGCAGAGACAAGTGTGGATTTGGCACACGCCCCACGGGAAGGCCCCGCACGGTGGTCATGCCCAGGTCCTGGCCTCTCATCCATCGTTGCTCCTTCACTACTCAAAGCACTCGTTCTGCTCTTCTGTGGAGGCTGCATCTTAGATACACGCCTGATCCCTTGGGGCAGAGGCAGAGGGGAGGAAGAGGAGCAGGTGTCTGGGGCCAGCAGGAGGCTATGCACAGCCTGCCCAGGACCATCCAGGAGAACCGGGCAGGGAGGAGGCCTGCGTGTGGGTGACCTGGCTGCAGCCAGGCATGGAGGAGGTCTCTCGGCTCCTTTGGCAGGACGACAGGGGCAGGGGAGTGGGGAGTGGCAATGGAGGGCGGGGAGCAGGCAGGGAGCGAGTGGGGAGGCCTGGGAGCTGCAGCCAGGTGGGGGAGGTGCTGAGAAGCAGACAGCCTCTCCCCCCTCCGAACCCCAAGTCCAAGTTGATACAGGAGGGAGGCTAGTGTGAGGCTGGCTGGGCGATGACCTTGAGAGAAGAGGCAGAGCCAAGCTGGTGTCTGGTGTGGGGGAGGAGGCGGTTTGGAGCTCAGATGGGGGAGGGGGCAGGCAGCTGTGCCACCTCCCGCCAGCCACCCTCAGATGGGGCCCTTGTTGCTGGGGGGGGGGTGCAGTGTGTCCTTGAGGTGGTGTCCCCGAGCTGAGATCCTGTGTTCCCTCAGGCACTCCCTGAGGACCTGGCTCTCATCCTGCTGGCACGGGCTCTGACTCGCAGCTCCCTCCCAGTCCTTGCTGGGCCGGCCCTCATGGGGGTGAGTAGGTGGGGGTGTTCAGGTGCTGCTCGGGAATTCCCCACATTGCCCTACCCCACAGGACCTCCCAGAGTTTCCAGGACCATAGTGGGACAGGAAGAGGCTATTGGGCCTGCGAGGGGGCCTTGGGGCAGGAGGTAGGAAGGAAGGCCTGCGGTGTCGGGGGAGGAAGCAGTCTCTGGCTACGGCCCCTCCACTCTCCATCCCTGCCCCTTGCTGGCCCCAGCCCTTGGGCCTGGGCCTCTCTGGGTTTCCTCTACTGGGAAGCCAAGGACCTTGGAGTTAGGCCAGGGCAGGAAAAAGGACAGCCCTGGCCTCTCCTCTCTGAGGACATTCAGAACAGCTCAGTTCTTCGGGGCATAGCCAACAAGGGCGTTCACTCCTCTGGCCTCCCAAGCCCAAACCCAGGGATCCCTCAGGAGGTAGCCATAGATCAGGACAGCCTCCTGGAGGAGGCGGCCATAGCGCCCAGGGAGAAAGGGCCGGGACTGCACCTCATCAGAGTGTGGGTGAGCACGGGCCTGGGATTCTGGTGCTGGACCTGGGTGGGGGGGTGACTGCTGGCCTTCCCCACCCCCATCCCATTCCCATCAGCCCCTCAACTTGGGCCTCTCCTCTGTCAGAGGCCTGGAGCGAACTGGAGCAAACAGCTTCACTGTCTGGGGCTCCTGTTGGGATGAAATGAGCCGAGGTCCCCAAGAGCTTCTGTCACAGCCTGCGGCAAACTCCAGGAGCCCAGGAATGGCTGCTGCCCTGGTCCCACAGCAGAGCGAGGCCAGAAGGCTTTCTGTATTCAACACAGGTTGCCCTAGGGTGTCTGGGCATGACGGGGCGTCTGGCACCCCGTAGCCTCAGTTAGAGGATGTCTGTCCCTGGATGCCTGCAGCCCAGGGCCTCCTGCTGGCCTCCTGCAGTGAGGGAGCTTCTGGCCTCCAGCTTGCACCTAGGGAGGCTTGGTCACGACCCAGTAAAGCAGGATGCTCCGGAGGGGAGAGGGATGCAAGCGGCCGTGGCCTGATCCAGCCCTGGTTGTTGTGGCTGTTTGTGGAGTGAGCCGGGGGATGAAGGGCTCTTTCTTTTTCTGTCCCTCTGCCTTTCAAATCAATTTTCCTACAGTCTATCCAGAGGACCCCATATGCATCATGAGATGCCAGAAGTGGAAGCCCCTGAGTGGGTTCCCTTCCACATGGGCCACCAGTAACACCTGTCCATCGACTCGGGGACTGCCTGGGACTTTGAATCTTGGCAAATCCTGGCTCAGCCAACTCCCACTGCATCTCCAAGATTCCAGGTTGAATATCAGCTAAGAGGTCCTTCAGGTCCCCCAGACTTGGGCCCTGCCCCCCTTTCCGGCACTCATTGCGAGTTGGACACTCTTGTGTGACTGCTGGACACCCATCTGCACCTCCAAGTTCCAGGAGGAAGAGGACAGGCGGGGTCTCCTCGCACCCCGGCTCATCAGCACATGACACAGGGTCTGGCACACGGCAGGTGATGTTGGAAAGCCGTGGATGGAGGAGATGATGAATCGCCTGCCTCCTCCTTCCTTTTTGGGGGAGTCAAATGCCGAACACCCAGCCTCAGACACTCCTTGCCCAGGGCCTGCAGACAAGAACAGGTGAAGGGAGGTCCTCTCCTTTCTTAGAATTCCGGGAGCAAGTTGGCTGGAAAGGTCCAGCCCAGGATCCAAGAGGCTGCAGGCGAGTCATAGCTGTGTTTATTCATCTCTTTGCACAAGGCTGCCCTCTGGTGGTCAAACATACAAGTGCATTGGGAAGGCCAGGACCAGGAGGCTGAGCAGGGCTGAGGCTGGCAGAAGACTTAGGCAGCTGGTACAGCAGCCAGCCCCCGGTGTCTCAGCAGAGATCTGTGACAGTTATCCATCCTGTTCTGGGAAGAGGAGAGATAGCAGATGACCCCGTGAAGAGTCCCCTGTGGTCCAGTAAGGCTGCGGGGCCAGGAGCCCTTCCTTCTCCCCAGGACTGTACTAGAGCAGCTTCCACACCTGAAGGAGATGGCCTTCTTCCCGTGGTGTTAATCCCTTCCTCTCAGCCAATGACTGAGCAGGGATGTGATGTCACCCCAGGGGCAGCTGGGTGGGGCTGCCCAGGACACAGATTTTACACACGACCTCAAAAGTGGGGGCGCGCTGCAAGACCTAGACACATCACTGCCAAGTGCTGGGTTTTGAGTCCTTATTGCATCTGCTCCCAGTGTAATATTTTAATTGTGAGGTTCTGTAATTCAGTTTTTTCATAATGGCCATGTTTAACCACTGACTCGCAAATTTCTGGGAACTTTGCCCCTCGATCTTGCAAGTCTGGCTGCAGCATGAGGTTGCTTCTCCTCCCTGGCCTCTGCCTGCTCCCCTTCCTCCTGCTCCTCTTCCTCGTTCCTGGGTTTCCCAGCATTGGTGCAGGAGAGGGGCTTTGCCATAGACAATGCTGGGAGCTGGGAGGCGTGCAGGAGACAGAAACACACATGTGGCCTCCCCGGACCTGCGTGCATATGGGTGGTGGTGACACGGGTGGCCGAGGGTGACAAGAAATGCCCTGTGTAGAGACAGGGGCCAGGGCTCCTATGGCTGCCAGGCCTGTGGCTGGAGGAGGGGAGGTCTCCAAGGGGCTTGTACCTGGGCTCGGCCCTAGGCGAAGCGGCCGGTGGGCAGTCGTGGCAGGCAGAAGTAGGCATCGGGGAAGAGGCTGAGGTTCACGGGGTTGCCATCCAGGCGGATGTCCTCGAGCAGCCTGCGTGCGTGTCCCTGCTCCCCAGCGGCAGCGCAGAATGCGTCCGCCTGCACAGCCGTGATCATATTGTTCTGCAAAGAGCACAGCAAGTCCTGCCCAGCGCCCAGGCTCCCGTTGCTGGCACCCAAAGTTCCATCTTCCCTCATGTGGCCGGAGAAATGGAGGCACATCACACAGAAGGAGAGAGGAAACCACGGAGGTTGACACTCAGAAGATGGAAGGGAAGGCAGAGACAGGGGCCGGAAATGGAGAAGGACCAGCAGGAGGGCAGGCGAGAGGAGGTGGAGGCGCCCAGGGAAAGGCGGTGTTATCAACAGAAGGAGCATGAAGAGATAGGACTGGGACAGTAGCTGCCTGTCTCCCAGCTCTGGGTGGGGCTCCTCACCTGCAGGTGCAGCGCACACAGGCTCAGGGGCAGAGGCCCAGGGATGGAATCCAGCAGGTTGTCTGCCAGGTAGAGGAACTGCAGCTTCCCCAGAGCCTGTGCAGGAGGCAGAGAGCAAGGGGGATGACAGTGGGAGGCAGAACTGGGCACTCCAGCAGCACCCACAGGGAACCTCAGCTTCACACCGGCTCCCATCAGTGTGTGTGGTTTTTTTTTTTTTAATTGTTTCAATTTGAGGGAGAGAAAAAGAAAGACCATGAGCATTGGCTCACTCTCCAAGTGCCTGCACTAGCCCAGGCTGGGCTAGGCTGAAGCCAGGAGTCAGGAACTCAGCCGAGTGAGTGGCAGGCATCCACCACCTGAGCCATCATAGCCGCCTCCCATGGCTTGCAAAGTCAGGAAGCTGGAGTCAGGAGCTGCGGTGGGCACCAACCCCGTGTCCTCTGACGTGTGTCGGGCAACTGCCTGTTCTGATGGCTGGTTCTCTAAGGAGCTTCTGGATGCAGAAGGAAACTCTGCCCTGCAACTGGGGTAGCATGAAGGAGCTGCCAGGCATTCCTGGCGACAGGCATGGTTAGGGACGGAGCTCAGGGGGAACCAGGCAACCTTCCTCCCAGCTTTCTGGTCTGTGCTCTCAGCATGAGTTTTGCCACCTACTGGTGCTGCAGCACCTGCTCAGGACACGAGGCAAACGAGGTGTGTGAGAATGATACCCTCAGGATGAGGTGGGTTCATCAGAGACGGGTTTGGGGGCAATCAGCCTTTTGGGGGAGGAGGGGGCTCCTACACCAAAGAGGAGTACCAGCCACTCTTTGCCAAGTGGTCAGGGGCTCCCATCTCCCTGAGCTCTCTGCAAATGCAGCCTGATTCCCTCCTTCTAATTCCTGTGCTTTGTTGCAGGGAAGGAAACAAGGTCGGAGAGCTGAAGCGGCTGGCCCCAAGCCTCGGGCACCCTGTCCTTGCTTTGCCCTGGGCTGAGCAAACTGTCCTGCGTGGCAGCAGCAAAGTGCCACCCACCGACTGGGCAGAGCAGTAGGAGCCCGGTGTGTGTGCGGGTGGGAAGACCCAAGCCCAAGGTCATGAGTAAGTTTCCCGACTTTTCTTGTAAAGTTTTCTTTTGTTTATTTTAAAGGCAGTTATAGAGAGAAGGAGAGATAGACAAAGATCCTCCACCTGCTGATTCACTTCCCCAAAAGGCCCCAGTGGCTGAGGCTGGGCTGGGCAGAAGCCAGGAGTGTGGATCTGCATCCAGGTGGCACTTGGGCCATCCTTGCTGTTTTAACAGGTACGTTGGCAGGCAGCTGGGGTGGAAGTGGAGCAGCCGAGATTCGAACCAGCACTTGTGTGGGATGCAGATGTCACAGTGAGTTAAGCCGCTGCACTCCAATGCTGGCCCAGATTTCTGACTCTCAGATGGTGCTGTTTCCACCACAGCAGTAGGACTGACCCTGCACTCTGTCATGCCCCGAGCGGGATTGCTGCAGACCAGGGAGGATGGAGGAGAGGAGAGAGGGAGGGAGGCGAGCTATAGGCCTCGAGCCCTCACCCTGTTCCAAAAAGGCAGCTTGGGTTTGACTGATTTGATGCTTCTAAATATGTGTTCGCTTGCGAAACAGATTCTACTCCAGTCAGGCGTTGCTTAACAACGGGAGATACTGGTGAGAACATTGCTGAGTGCACCCCCACACATGGAGAATGCTAGAACGGGCCTGGGGCGGAAGGGTGATTGCGTCAGACCCCTCCTGCACATGTGGCCAGTCACTAACCAAGACACAGTGGGCAGCCCTTGCTTGTACGGAGATGGGCAGACAGGGTGGGCTTGAAGCTGAGTCCAGGAGGAGGTGACCAACTGCAGCTGAGCAGTTGGTCAGCCGCGTGCCAGGGGATGCCCACCCTGGCCACACCCCTCCATTTCTTCCTTGGGAGTTCATCCCAGGCTCCTGTGGGCCCTGTCCATCGGGGACCACATTTGTGTCTCAGCATTTGGCTCTTTCCATCAAAACCGGTGAGCCAAGGACTCTCCGTTGGCTTCTCTTAAAGGTCTACTGCTGGTAAGAAAGGAGACATGAGTGCAGGCTGGAACGGCATAGAAGCTGGGGTTCCAGGCAGGTGTGGGACCATGAGCGCACAGTAGGTGAACGGGGCAGGTCCATGGGCAGAAGCAAGGATGAGAGACCATGCGCCCCGAGGAGGAAGGCTAATGTGCTGACTCGGTTTCTGGGACCCCCCTCCCTGAAACGAGCCCATGAGGCCTGGCGGTGCCAGGGTCTCCTGGGAGGACAAGCTACCAACCAAGACAAAGGACAAACAGCTCTCTTGGGTCGGCCTGGAGTCCTATAGCAAGCAGCAAAGTGGGGGCTGCATTGTGGCACGGTGGATCAGGTGTCACTTGTCCTACCAGCATCAGCAAGCTGGTTGGAGCCGTGGCTGCTCTGCTTCTGATCCAGCTCCCTGCTGATGCGCCTGGGAGAGCAGCAGTGGATGGTGATCCACGCGCATGGGTCCCTGCCACCTACGTGAAGAGATCCAGATGGAGCTTTCGGTTCTTTCTTCATGCTGGTCCAGCCCTGATCACTGGGGGGCCGTTTGGGGGAGGGAATCAGCAGATGAATCTCTCTCTCCTCTATCTCTCCCTCAGTCATTGTGTCTTTCAAATAAGTAAAACTAAACCTTAGAAGCACAGCAAGGGGCCAGCACTGTGCACAGCAGAAGACGGCCTGAAACATCGGGGCCTCTGTCACCCACATGGGAGACCTGGAAGAAACTCCTGACTCCGAGTTAAGGCCTGGTCCCCATCTGGCCACTGTGGCCATTTGGGGACTGAATCAGTGGGTTCACTCTCTTAGTAACTCTTAGTTTGAATTAAATAAGTAAATCTTAAAAAAAAAAAAAGCAGCACATGGAAAAAGATGAAAACAAAAGGCATGCTTCTTACACCCCACTTCAGGGACGGGGTAGGGATCCCCAAATCTGTCCTGGCACCTGGGTGGTGGCAGATGGTGAATGAAGGCCCTGGCTTACCTTGAAGGCCCCAAGCTGTATTCCTGAACTCTGGAGCCGATTCAGGCGGACGTCTAGCACCTCGATGCCCCCGGGCAGCATGGGCAGAGCTGCCAGCTGGTTGTCTGGAAGCAGCAGGTCTTGCAGAGCGGGCAGCCCACTGAGGGCATCATGCTCAATGGAGGAGATGGCATTGCCGGATAGGTCGATCCGCTTCAGCTTGGCTGAGGAGGTGGGGAGAGCAGCCTGGTTCTATCCCATGACAGCCATCCCCCGGGAGGGTGTGGGAGAGGACGCTGCTTGGTGGGCTGGGGGTCCCTGGATCCACTCCACCTGCACCTGCTGGCTAACACAGAAGGCACACAGACCCCAAGGGCTCTGGGCAATTAGCAGCAAAATCTGGACTGCAGCCCAACTTGGGTCTCCAGCAGGGCAGAGGCACAAAGCAGCCAAAGCATCCGACAAAGGAACAACTGTGCCAACTGCGTCAGCGCCATGGAGAGCAGGCTTAGAATGATCTCATGCAGACGGTGGCTGGGGTGGGGGTGAAGAGGCTGGCTCATTCAAACCTTCCTGACCCATCGCTGTTTGCCTGAACTTTGAGGGGAGCAAGTAAGAAGAGGCTACTTGCACTGGCTGCAGCTTCAAGGAAAGTGGTGAGAGACGGTGGGGGCTTTGGCAGTTAGGGACACTGCAGGCTTATAGGGAAAGGCTCACCCAGGCTGGTGACTGTCCAGTGGTTGGGAGGCAAGAGAAACAACCCTGGTGGCCCTGTCCGCTTGGCTCTCTGCCCAGGGCATTACGTACTCAGTCCTTCGAAGTCTTGGGCCCTCACATGGCTGATGCGGTTGAAGCGGGCATATAGGTAGGCAGTCGACCGCGGCAGACGAGGGATGCTCTCCAGGTCCGCATCATCACAGTACACAGAGGAACCCAGGCACACGCAGACCAGGCAGGTGGGCAGGCCTGGCTCTGGCAGAAGACCCCTGATCAGAATCCCTTCAGGCCCACCGCCTTAGCACCAGGGACCACGAATCATGGCCAGCTATCCCTCGATGCTGAAAGAACCACCCAGCACGATGCACCCAGGCAGGGTGCAACCCGGCTGCCACCCAGTGCTGAGCCAAAGGGAGCAGTCCTCCATGACTGCCCACTGTGAGCCCCTTCCGGCTTTTATCTCAGCCTGGCCTTGGGCAGGGTGCACCTGCTTCTACACGAGTGGCTCCAGGACATCCACTGGTCTCTTCCATCATAGCTGTCCAGTCCCCGAATCAAGTCCAAGCAGAGCATAACGGCCACTGCCAGCTGCTGCAGGGGACGGGGTGAGGTCTGTTCTGTGCGGCTTTGAGAAGCATCAGAGAGACACAGCCAAGGGGTGGATGATGCCTCCCACACAGCACAGACCTCCCTTGCCCTTCTTATGGCATTGACTTCCTGGTCACTCACTGAAGGTGGCCTGGCCCCTCCCTGTCCCTGGCCATGACCCCACCTCAGCAGCGAGCTATCCTGAGGATCAGGCCGTCCACTCATACTGGCTTCAATAAGGCTGCAGAGTCGCAAGGCTTATGCAACTGGACCGAGTAGGTGGCCTTGGTCACTCACTGTCGCCAGGCGCAGAGGTAAATCCTCCTGACAGTGACCTAGCACCAAGATGGTCAGCGGGGACAGGTGGAGTGCTGGTGTGGTTGGGGAGGGAAGGTGGGCAGGATCCAGGCCTTAACTGACAAGTGCCCCCAAGGGACCTGACTACGCCTGGATTGACAGACCTTGGGTTTCCCACTGTGCCACTTCTCTGCTGATGTCCCTGCCCCGACATCCACCCAGGGCACATATCCCGAGGGGGACAAGAGGGAAACGAGGGCACACGGGTCGAGATCGGCACCCTTCCCTCACCCCGCAGCAAGCTGCCGAGCACTCCCCTGCCCTGTCATCCCCTCACCCCCACCCCGGGAAGGAGGGAAGGAAAGAGAGCTGCCAGGCAGGGAACCTGAAGCCGAAACCCAGTGTGGCTGATTTGTTTGCCCCCACACCAAGAGATAGTCACAAAGTTATTTATTCCCCTCTGCAGGCCTTTAATTGTCTCTAATCTAATTACCACTCCACCTGCTCCCTGGGAGATGCTGTTAATTAAGGGAGGGTGGCTGTGCCAGGGCAGAGGGGAGTCCTGGCATCGCTCCATTTTCTACCCAATCTGTACATTCAGGTCTAAGTCCAGGGCACAGCCGGCCTCTCCCTCTCATTTGCCCTGCTCCCATGGTGGCTCTCCCCTGTCCCTCTACTCTTCCTCCCCATCCTCTTCCTCCTTCCCTTCCTCCTCCCCTCCACCCCTGCCGGGAAGGACCAGCCCTGAGGCTCAAGTCTACTCTGGTTGGCCCCAGCCCTGGGATCTTGGCCTGTGACCTGTGGACACTGGGGTCATGTGACCGTGCACTTACCAGGGCTGGTTGGGAAGCTCGTGGTGTCAGGCCTGGGCGTTGTAGGGCTTGCTGACAATATCCTTGGTGCCTTAGTGCTCTGGGCGGGGCTGACCTGGGTTGGAGGAGCCGGGCTGCTCATCTTACCCTGAGACATAGCACACAGTAGGTCAGTTTATGCCTGGGAGAGCCTTCACTTTGGCCTCCGGGAGTGTCAGTGACCAACTGCAAGCCTGCAGGGTCACCGTGGCAAAGCAGGGAGGGCAGGGGCAAAGGTCATGGAACCCGCCAGTGGCTCAGGCAGAGCAGAGGGGGTCTTGGGCTCCCAGGCTGCTGGCGCCCCTTGCTCCACACTGGCTAAACTCAGCACCTAGAGAAGGCTTATGGGCCCGTCTCTCCAGCCTTGTGCTTTCCAGGAAAGCAGGGAGAGAACGTGAGCATGTATGCCAGTGTGAGACAGGCGGGCAGGGTGAATCTGAGGCCGCTGCTGGCCCCCACCCAAGGAGCTGCATGATGGCAGAGGGAAGGAAGATGGATCTGAGGCGGGGCACACCACCAACAGATGCAGCAATGGCAGGTGTGTGTCCTCTTAGTCACCTACATGACAAGTTCCTATGGAGGGACCAGGATTTCCCCCTCACAGACACACAGAGGGCTGCTTCAGGCACCTGCAGAGGAGGGCAGCAGAGGGGGACGGGCTCCGCCTCCCAGTGTCCTGCAGGGCACACGGCCTGCTGTCCCTCACCTCGGGGGGCTGGTGGTCTCCGTAGTCTGTGAGCTCCTCGTAGTTGCCCAGGTCAAGGATTTCGCTGTAGTTGTAGTCGCCCAGGGGCAGCATGGCAGGAAGGCCCCCTTGGGCAGCAGTCTCTGCCCCCCTCTGCTTCCTCTCCATGGGGAGGGATGCCGCCTCAGCCTCCTGCAGTGCCAGGACCAGCAGACTCAGGAAAGCTGGCAGCCTCATGCGGTCTGGGGGGACATGGAGAGCACCATGGGGCTGCTCACGCTCATGGGGCAGTCAGGAGAAAGGGCAGCTTTCATGCATGTGTGGGAGTGGCTTGCAGACCCAGCCACTGCCACACATGCAGGCCTCACTGCATCACATGCACCCCAACATGCGCATACTCCCCACAGCTGGGCCTGATTGGCGGTCTTTACAGGGAGCCCCTTCAGACTCGACCTTTCGGGGGTCTGTGTGCCCACCCAATGAGTGGCCTTTGCTCTCATGGAACAGGTGTGCTTATCAGCACAGATGTACATATTCATGCGTGCGCCCAATTACACAACCACACACCTTGGGCTATGCGTGTGAGTCACTAACCTCGACTAACCTCCAGGAGTCTGGCAATTGCTAAACAGCTCACTCACGCACACACGTTGCTCGGCCAGCCTGCATCGGCACCAGGCCGTCACCTGGCGGCATAGAGATGCCCAAAGCTCTGAGGCCATTCTGGAGAAGAGTTCTTGGCGTGCGGTATGGGAGCATGGGGCTCCTTAGATCTTGGTGCAGGTCACTGTGTGTGTGTCCCTTGCTTATCATTGTAGGGCTAATGTGTGTGAGCAGGAGGCACCCGGAGGTTCATTCACCAACACACAGAGGGCTGGAGAGGTGGTGTGGTGGGCCTGGGGTGCCAGTGTGCGTCATCATGGCCACGAGGCACCAGGCTGCACAGTGCCTTCCTGACACTAGCCATACATGTTTCCAGGAGCTTCTCCCCTTTCATAATCTCAGCTAGGCAAGCAGGCTGAGCACAGGCCATAGTGACAGCTGTCCCTGCTGCGGAGGGTGTACGCTTCACTCCCGACCAACTCGCATAGCTTAGAGCGGTTCTTTGGAGCCCCCGCTCCCCAGGCAGAAGCCCCCTTGGCTCTGCTCTGCTCTGCCCGGCCCCAGCCCCAATCTTTCTTCTCACCTGCCTGGATCCTTAGCTCTTACAGCTCCGGGCACTTGACCGTAGCTGCACAGTCTGCCGACAGCAGTGACTGACGGGTGGAAAGAAAGAGGGCCTCGAGGCAGGCCCAGCCGGCCGTGTGATCGCCGCTCTTTGCTCCTCCTGTATCCTCCGTCCTCAGCAGGGCCCCATCCTGATCCTCAGCTTGGGAGCAGCGAATGCTTCTCCCTTCCCTTCTCCTCCCTGCTCTCTGTCTGGCTCACCCTCCTAACAGGGCCCTATCTTTGCAGGGCAGGCAGTGCCCACTGCCCTGGGGAGGGTCCCGCCCCGCCCCTTGGCAGGCAGCTGGGGCCCAGTGTGGGGAGGAGTGGGTCAGGCAGAGGGCAAACGAAGCCTCACCTCACCGAGGGATTCCACAAAGGTGGGGCAGCTCCCCCCACCCCTACCTCTGCTTGTCCTCTTGGCCACTGGCCAGCAGCCAGGTCCTGTGCTCTGGTTCCCACGGTGCAGTGAGACTCAGCTCCTTGACAGTTTGGTAGAGTGGGCGGCGGGGGAGGGGTGTGGGGAAGCCATGCTAATGCTGATCTCTCATTAGGAGAAGCAGCAGGCGTGTTGATGGACCGGAGGTGGCAGGCGGGGTGGACAGAGCCGGGGCTGCCGGCCCTGTCGCTAACCCCTGTTGTTCAGGAACTCAGGGAGGACGGGGTGTTCCCTGCCAGGGCCATGACCAGAACATGACCCATGCGTCTCAGACCTGTCCACCTCTTTTCCTGCTTAGCCAAGTTAGACTTTCGAGAGGGGTGTGCAGCATACAGGATTCAGCTGTAAGTTCTTAGAGGGGAGGCTAGCCCCAGTTCCAGGGCCTGGAAGATGAGCAGCAGGCAAGATGGGTTGGCTGGGACATGAGGGGCTGGAGAGCCACCTGTGCAAACGGCAGCCTCTCCTTGCCTGTCTGTGGACGTCCGTGGGGCCACAGACAGCTCCACACGTGGGGATGCTCGTCCTCTGTCCTGGAGACAGCCCTTCCAGGCCACACTGGCCCTGGGGAGGAAAGGGAGCTGTTTTTGTGACTTTCTGGATCCACCTCAGCCTAAGTGTGTAGGAAGATCACCAACAATTTAATACAAGTTAATTGAAGAACGCCAGGGAGCTTTAGCCTTTAAATACAGTGGTCCAATTTCCTCTTCAGAGTTGTTGGGTTTGCTGGAGATTTGCCCAAGGAATGGCTTTGAGCTCTTTTTCCTAGGAGTTTCTTAAGAATTGGATCAGGGGAGGAGGGGCAGCTGGCACCATGGCTCAACAGGCTAATCCTCCACCTGCACATACCGTTATCCTATATGGGCACCAGCGCACGTTCCAGTTGTTTCACTTCCCATCCAGCTCCCTGCTTGTGGCTTGGGAAATCAGTAGAGAATGTCCCAAACCCTTGGAATCCTGCATCTGCGTGGGAGACCCTGAAGAAGCTCCTGGCTCCTGGCTTCGGATTGGCTCAGATCTGACCATTGCAGTCATTTGGGAAGTGAAGCAGAGGATGGACGCTCTTTCTCTCAGTCTCTCCTGCTTTCCGTAAATCTGCCTTCCCAATAACAATAAATAAATCTTTAAATAATTGGATTTGGGGGATGGCATAGTGGGTTAAGCCGATGCCCGTGATGTTCCCTGTTGGAGTCCTGGCTGTTCTACCCAGGACTGGGAAAGTAACAGAGGATGGCCCAAGTACTTGGGCTCCTGCCACCTACATGGGAGACTCAGAAGAAGCTGCTTGCTTCCCAACTCTGGCTGTTGCAGCCATTTAGGGAGTGAACGAGCAAATGGAAGCTCTCTGTCTGTTTCTCTCTGTCTCTCTCTCCTGATGTGTATGTACATCTGTCTATCAAATAAATAAATATTGAAAGGGTGGGACTTTTTTCTCCACCCAGGTTCTCAGGGGTAGGGGGAGGGCAGCAACCTGACGCTAGGGTGTTTCCTGGGCCTGGTCACGTTGTCAAGTTCAAGCAGGAGTTTCTGTATGACTTTATTTCCGGTGCTGAGAAGCATGTTGGGCTGGGAAGGCTGTGCCGCCGAGTTAACATGGTCTCCAGGAGGGAGACGATACGCTGGCAAACATATACACACCTCCTTACGCACTGGGCAATGAACTTGGCTGTGGGCAAGGGGCTTGCTGAAGCATGCTGTGGGGCGTGTGTGTTGTACAGGTGCCCCAAAGCCCTTTGGTTAGGCTGCAGAGAGCAGTGGAGGGAGGAAGAGGCTGGTGAGTGCGTCCATGCCAATCCCAAGCCCGAATCCACATTGACAGGGCCAGGAGTAGTGACCCCAAGACCCCTGGAGCTGTGCTCCCCCAGGGACAGCCCCAAAGCCAGGGGCTGAGGTGTGAGCAGGTGCAGAGGGGGCTTATCCAGGCTATAGCACCAGATTGCTTACAGCCACAGGAAGCACTGACTGACTAAGCAGGAGCCTTGGAGAAACCAGCTGCAGCTGGGGGAGGAGCAGGGACATGGGCGCCCAGGCTGGGAAGGCTGCGATGGAGGAGGGCCTGTCTTCTATCGTGAGCCAGAGAGAAAGGTTGAGAAACAGAAGGAGAAGGAGTTCTTGAAGTTAGGGGCCCAGCTTCGTCTGATTTCATACAATCCTCTGGAGCTTTTCTGATCCAAATTGGAGGGTAGGCAGTGTCTTACTTTTAGAACATTCCTTCTCCATTCCCACCAGCAACATCAGGTACTCAGGGAGATGTGGCAGGGCAGCATACCTTAGAAGAAGTTGGGGGGAAGGTGAGGGCAGAGCCAGCCAAGCCATTCAGCTGGGCCAGCAAGATGGTGGGGGTCACTTGGGGGAAGAATGGCTGGCCCGCAGAGGGAGCCAATGATTGCAGGGAAGGCCACAGCCGTGCTTGTCCTGCATTCAGCCCTGACTGAAGTGTGATGTTGTGGACGTGGAGCAGGGTCCGGGAGGGATTGATTCCCAAGGATGGGTCCTCCATCTCCTCCACCCCCACCTCGATGGGGGAATGGGAGGAGCTGAGGGCCTGAGGGGTCCAGTGAGGTTAACAGGAGCAAGCTGTATCTTCCTTCGTGGCTCCCTGCAGGTGCCTCAGCCATGGAGCTGTCTTCAGAGCTCAAAGCTAGGACCAAGGTGAGCAGACAGGAGCCCGCTGTGGCCCTCTCTAGCCACCAGGTGTCGCTGGCGGGTCTGCCTTGGAGGCGGAGGCTTCTGGGAGATTTCCAGGTGCCCCTCCTCTTCCTCCCTGTTTCTCATGAATCCTCTTCAGGGTGGAAGTGGCTGCGGCCTGGGCCCTAATGGGGAACAGACGGCGGGGGCGTAATGCCGCCTCTTGGCCCTCTGCTGTGCAGGCTGTGTTCCCCTGGGCCTCAGGCCTCTGGTCGGATAGGGCAAGGGGCCTGCAGGAGCCATTTACACGCAACGTGGCCCTGCCTAGGGTGTGACCCCGCTGCTTTTTTGTTGCTAGCTAATTCCTGGTTCCTTGAGTCATCGCCTCCTTGGTTGGTGTCCTTTGTCCTACTGCTTCAACGCCCATGGGTGCCAGATGCAGGCCTCACCTCCTTCCCTCTTCCTTCCGGTGGAGTGTCTGGTGCCAGGATGTGGAGCAGCAACTTTGAAAGGAAGGATTCTTGGCTGAGGAGATCCACGGACCCCGACCCTCACCCTAAGCTGCCTATGCTTCCTCCTGCAGGCCCAAGATGGGATGTGAGCCCCTCGGGAGCCCCCACCCAGGAGGGACCGGGTCAGGGAGGGAGGCGGGTCGGAGGATCTGGACGTGGCTGTCCAGATGGCCCCCAGGGCATCCTGCTCCAGAGCGTTTCTCTGCCTCCAAAAGGTGGGAGAAGAGGCGAAGCTGGGGGCAAGAGAGGGGGAGAGATCACACGGGGATAGGGGCACGGGCGCCTGGGTGGCCAGCCTTCGAGTGTGGTCAGGGGAGCCCGGCTGCAGGGCCAGATGGCCTAGATGACCACGGACTGCAGGAGACGGAAGCACATCATGAGGTCCAGCGGGATGGGCGGCTTCAGGTAGTTCCCGTCCAGCCGCAGATAGCGCAAGTGTGGCACGTTCTCCAGGTCTGAGGAGAAGTCGTGGAAGGTGACCAGGTTGTTGGGGCAGATCTGGGTCCCGTTGATTTCTAGGAAGAAAGAAGGGAGAGGAGTCAGTAGGAGGCTGGGGCAGGAGGGTCAGGAACAGGGTAAGACAGCCAAGGGAGGACCTTGTTCTTTTTTTTTTTTTTAAGATTTATTATTTATTTTTATTGGAGAGGTGGATATACAGAGAGGAGAGACAGAGAGGAAGATCTTCTGTCCGATGGTTCACTCCCCATGCAGCCCCAACAGCTGGAGCTGAGCCAATCTGAAGCCAGGAGCCTCCTCCAGGTCTCCCACTTAGGTGCAGGATCCCAAAGCTTTGGGCCTTCCTCTCCTGCATCGCCAGGGAGCTGGATGGGAAGCAGGGCTGCCGGAATTAGAACTGGTGCCCGTATGAGATCCTGGTGCCTTCAAGGCGAGGACCTTAACTGCTATGCTCTCATGCCAGGCCTGGGACCTTGTTCTTTAGACCGTACTGACTGGGGTCGGGAGGCTATGGTTGACAATGAAGACAGCTCGGTTGTGGTTGCACAGAGACCCAGAAGGAGGTCCTGAGCTGGGCCTCCTGGGAAAGGGGAGAATTCCACAGGTAGAGTGCTTGGAGGAAGCACCTGTAGGGATGGCACTGGGGAGCCAGCATCACAGACTCTAGGAGGACCAGTAATGCAAAGTGATCTGATCAGCCGGAAGGCCTTGCGATGGCCACATTACAGTGGGCTTGGAGCAGTGGCATGGAGCAGGACTGACTCTGTGGCAGGGAGTGGGAAGGCATTGGGGAAGGCTTCCAGGCCCCAAGCCTGTGACGATGAGGTGCTCATGACCTGAGATCCCGTTGTCTTGTTAGGTGACAATCTTCTACCTGAATTTCTAATTCTTGAAGGTTTTGCCTCCTTTAGCACCTGTAGCGAAAGGGAAGGGAGGAGTTCTCCCTACACTCCCTGCTTCATCGTGGGGATAGTAGAGGAGTCCTGGCATGCGGCCTTGTGATTTGGGGCTGTTGCGTTGCCACTCCGATGCCCACTCCGTACCAGTGACCTGGTGATGCTGGGTTTGTGCTGCACATCAGTTTGCAAACTGTGAAGGAGAGCCTCTGCTGCAGTGTGGGCATCACACTGGCCGAACGTCCTCTCTGCCCATGCCGTCTGCCTGCGATGCCGTGGGTGGGCTGCAGGAGGCTGGGTGTGTGTGCATGGGGCGTGTTCTCTCTGACTCCAACCTCCCAGAGCAGCCTGTTCTTCCATGACCAGCTATTTCTTCATGGAGGGCTCCTTTCTGTCCATATTTTCAGCCTACGCAGCTTCCTAGGGGCCCCGTGTTCAGCGCATTCCGTTTTAATCTGCTACCTGCAGGGTAAAATTAGATAGCTTTTCTATTTTCCCGAGTTTGTTTCTTGCAAGCTTTAAAAGATTCCTCCCCCACTTCTTGTTATTATTCCCAATGAGAGAACAGGCCTGTTTGCCTTTCGTTGTGTTTCAAGACTTTGGGGAATGTCAACAACCTACTTTGCATCCTCTGGATTGGAAACAAAGGTGAGGGCGCCCTCGGCATTGTCTCCTTCAGCCTTTAGCAGGTGCATTCCCTGTGTGAATGTAGCCTGGCATTGTTCGAGGATCCGATGCTGCTCTCTCTTTGGTTTCTAAACCTTTGTACTGATGCTCAGAGCTGACACTTTGTATTGAAGCAAACCTACAGCTGCCAGCTTCCTCTCTGGGCTGGGGGACTAGCTCCAGGAGCCGTCTGTCTTATAGGAGGACAAGGAAGCCTGGCCGCCTGCTGGGTAGAGTCCAGCATATATATATGTAAATATATATATATATATGTTTTTTTCTGGCTGCCACTTGGGGTCTCTGCTGCAGATTCCTCCAAGCCAGGGGCTGCCTCTGGGGAGAATCCTCCTCTCACAGCTGCGGGTCCAGGACATCTCAGGCTGGGCACTGGTGTGGCTGTTCTGCTGGTGGGAGAATGTCCAAGAGCCGACTGGAGGCCAGAGAAGCTGGGGCTGACAGGACGCGGTGTGGACAGGACGCGGTGTGGACAGGACGCGGTGTGGACAGGACGCAAGCCCACATGCGTCTGGATGATGTTCTTCCGTGCTTGCACTTCCCGAGTGCTTCAAGGTATCGTCACCATACTCACCATCACCGCCGTACAGAGGATGACGCGCCCCAGGGAGGTCAAAGGTCTTGCCAGAGGGCACGCTTTCTGCCCCAGCCCACCCTGAGGTTCCTGAGCGAGGCCAGAGGCAGTGGGGCCTCTCCCATCCCTCCCCCCGCCCCTGCCACCCACGGGCCCTGCCCCCACTCACTCTCGATGCTGTTGTTGTTGAGGTACAAGTGCTCCAGCCTGTTGTTGATGGCGGGCACGTTGCTGATCTTGTTGTGCGACAGGTGGAGCACCAGCAGGTTGGAAATGTTGAAGGAGTTCTTGGGGAGGCCCCTGTCCGACAGCTTGTTGTAGTTCAGCCGGATGAAGGCCAGGTTGGGGAAGCCCTTGAAGTAGCCGTTGGGGATGGTCTCGATGTTGTTGCTGTCCAGGTAGAGCTGGTGGATGGCTGGGGGCACCTTGGGGGGCATCTTGCGCAGGATGTTGTGGGCCAGGTTGAGCTGCATGAGGTTCTTGAGGCCCTGGAAGGTGTCGGGCTTGAAGACGCCGTCGCTCAGCCTGTTGTGCTGCAGGTCCAGGAGCAGCAGGTTCTCCAGCTTGCTGAAGACGCCTGGCGGGATCCTGGAGATCTGGTTCTGGCTCAGCCGCAGCTGCTCCAGGCTCTGTGGCAGCGCCGCCGGCACCTCCTCCAGCTGGTTCTTCTCCAGGTACAGGAAGGCCAGGCTGGGCAGCTGCTGCAGCACCCTCTGCTCCACCTTGCGGATGCGGTTGTTGTCCAGGTTGACCCACCTCAGGCCCGTGGCGTTCCGGAAGGACTCCACCGGGAGCTCGGAGATGAAGTTGTTCTGTAGGTAGAGGTAGTGGATGCGCGGCGGGATGACGGGCACCTTGCGCAGGTTGCGGCTGTCACAGTAGAGGGCAGATGGGAAGTCAGGGGGGCAGTAACACTCCCGGGGACAGTCGGGGAAGACAGAGGGAGGGCCTGGGGGGAGCGGGGGAGGCAGGTCTGTGGGCTCGGCTGGCTCATGCGGCTGAGGGAAGCTGGGCGTGGGCGGGGGCCGGGGCCTGCGTCCACGTGCAGGGCCAGGTCTCCCTCGTCTTGTCGACTGGCCTTGGGCCACGGAGGCCAAAATGAGAAGTGGGAGGAGCCAGCAGAGGGGTGACCTCATGATCCAGGAGGCGCACCTGCAGAGAGGACACAGAGGGAGGGCATTAGCCTGCAGGCCAAGGTCACCGTGAGCACAGGTGAGGAAGTAGCTAGGGCCCCCAGCTCTGGACTGCATGCCCCAGGCTTTTGCCTCACAGTGTGTACGGCCTGGAGCAGGCATGCAGGGCCACAAGTCGGGCACTGAGGCTCTGGGCAGCAGTCCCTGGCCCTCTCTGGGCAACTCCCACGTGCAGCACAAGAATATGGTCCCTGTCTGTTCTAGGGATGTTAGGGTACCTGCCCCGCCCAAGGTCGGGTGCTGACTCCCGGAAGGTAAGGCTGAACAGATGCCCCACCCACTCCTGTGCTGACCCTGCCTGCTTGGTTTAAAAAAAAAAAAAAAAGAAAAGAAAAAAAGCTATTTGATATATTGAGGTTTGGTCAAGTCATTCATCCAAGAAAATGAAGTTTCATTGCTAAAAATAGATTGCAATCTGATGTCAAGTTCAGATGCCCTGTTTACATAGACTGGGGACAGTGGCTTGCCAAGCAAGGCCAGTCACTGTGGCTCGGCAGGTTCGGTACTGAAGGCAGGGGCAGAGCTGGCCTCTGGGGCAGAGCTCCTGGCAGGAAGGGACTCACTCAGGCCCCTGCAGCTCCAGCCCCGCTTCCCCACGCGCTCTCAGCCCCTGCACTTGGCTCAGAGCATGGTTGTCTTTGCCAGTGTGAGCTGCGCCAAGAATTTCTCCCCAGATGTGGCGGCTCCTGGGAAAATCAACAGGCCAGGGAAGGAAAGACTTGGGGAAAGCACTTTTCTTTCCCCCCCGCCGCCTCCTCCCCCCGCCCCCCCCCCCCGGCCTGGTGTTGTGGCTCTCCACATCCTTGGTGGTGGAGCCATGGGGTGGGGAACCAGGAAGAACTTCCTGCTGGGCTGAGAGTCTTTGGAAGAGCAAGCTGGAGGGTGTTTGGGGGCTCCCGTCTTTCTAGCCCTGGTGACCCCTCAGACAGGGCCACAAGGTCTGAGTTGGTCTGGGCCTCAGGCTCACAGACAGGAAACAGTATCTTCCCAGCATCCTCTCCTGGCGCAGGCTCTCCAAAGGTCCAGGCAGGAGGTGCCCTGTCCTTCCAGCTCTGCAGCACCATCAGTACTGGGATGCTCCCTCTGCACTCTAGCCCAGGTCCCTGTTGGCACATGGCTTCCCCTGGCTTCCATGCCTCTTGCTCATGCCTGTAGTAAGCTACCGCTCACCCTGGGGCCTGGCACAGACTGGACTTCTGCAGGTAGAAGGGCCTGCGGTGTGTCCCCAGCTTGCACCAGGACCCTGTGGTTATAGCCTGCAGGCTAGACCCCGTGCCCTCTCCCACCTCTGTGCCCATGTCCCTCCCCTCGCTGCCCCTGGTGCTGGCTCCTAGAGGCTGTGGTCCAAGGAGGCCAGCAGGAGGCCTAGCTGGTAGCTGAGTCCTGCCAGGATGCTCGGCAGAAATCGAGGGCAGAGCTGAGCCCTGGGTCCCACAGCTCATGCAACTGCACCCTTGACCCCAGGCTGCAGACTCGCCCACAAGCCTCTCCCCAGCGCGAACATGCATGCACTCACACTCACACATCATGAACGGGCTGCTGAGTCCTCCTTAGGACCCTGAGTATGGGAGGGAGGTAGAGGGTCCTGCACCTGTGCTGTCCTGCCACCCCCGTCTAAGGTAGGTGGTCTCTCTTCCCAGACAGGCTTCACCAAGGGGACCCAGGGGGCCACTGCTCAGGTCCTGCTATCTCAAAGGACACTGCAGTTAGAATTGGCTTCATCTCCAGTGACAGATGGAACAGTATTCAGGATACACTGGAAGGACTGAGACATGAGCACACGCGTGGCAAAGCTTGAGCAGGAATCTTGCTACAGACCCCACATCACTCGTCATTGGTGAACTGTGAGTCCTGTCATCGAAAGCAGTGCTTACATGTTACATGTAGCTTGCTTTATAAACACACTTTCAAACCCTCAGTTTGGGACACAGGTTAAGATGCCTCTCAAGATGTCCACATCCCATATGTGATTGTCCAGGTTCCTGCTAATGGGCGCCCTAGGAAGCAACAGGCGATAGCTCCAAGGCCATCTCAGCACCCACATGGGAGGTTCAGATTAACTTCTTCTTCTTTTTTTTTTCCAGATAGAGAGGAAGATCTTCCATCTGTTGATTCACTCCCCAAGCAGCCATAATGGCCAGAGCTGAGCCAATCTGAAGTCGGGAGCCAGGAACCTCTTCTGGGTCTCCCACACGGGTACAGGGTCCCAAGGCTTTAGGTCATCCTCTACTGCTTTCCCAGGCCACAAGTAGGGAGCTGGACGAGAAGCAGGGATGCTGGGATTGGAACCAGTGTCCATATGGAATCCTCGCGTGTGCAAGGCGAGGACTAGCTGCTGGACTACCGTGCCAGGCCCTCAGATTAACTTCTCAGTTCCTGGCTTTGTCCTGGCCCAGCCCTGGCTGTGGTAGGCATTTGGAGAATGTACCAGTGGGGTAGGAGATCTCTCTCTGTCTTTACATTGCAGATAAATAATTCTTAAAGTCTTAATTTTTGTTCTCCAATTTTCTCTTTCAAATTCTTTGTTTCCTAATCACCCAACCAAGGAAGCAGAGCCTGATTCACCCTGGGTGGGGGAAGCTGCCATGGGGGTGCTCCCAGTTCTGACAGGGGCCTCGCTCTTTCCCAATGTGGTCTGTATTATACAGACCTGCCTCTACCAGGCCCTGGACTCCAAGTGAAGCGAGTAAAGCCTTCCCACAGGAGCCTGCTGGAGTTGGGTGGCCCTGGGCCTCCGATGGCTGGGGTGCCAGGAGCAGGCAGCCAGTCACAGTCCCACCTGGCTGGCTGGCAGGCAGCCCAGCACCCTTCTCATGCATTGCAGACCCAGGCCTTCTTGGGCCCCATGCTCTGTGTCCTCCGGAACCTTCCCTTTCAGCCTTCTGACCCTTCTACATTCCGGGCACTTCCCGAAGCCAGTGGACCAGCCCGGCTCCCTAGGAAGTGCTCCCCTGGGTATAGGGCATGCTCCTCCCCTGCCCTGACCCAGCCCTGACTCAGACCTGGTATGTGGGCTCTAAGAAGGAAATTGCCTCAGTTTCTGAGCTTTGCTCAGGGCCACGCCTCATCCTGCTGGAGCTTGGCTGCCTGGGGTGGAGAAGGGCAGGGAGGGACCAGGCTCAGACAGCACAGCCTGCTCTCTGGCCAGGCTCCCTGAAGTCCTGGGTCTCTGACCCCAGCATCAGGGCTACACACTGGAGACACTGGACTCCACGTTCCAAAGTCACATGCTTTGTCCTCCTGGCTTCCAGAACCTTCTATCAGATGCTAGGCTTCCTTAGGCTGGGTCAGATGTCTGTGTTACAGCAATGTTTTTCTTATGCCTTGAAATGCACGCTGCCCACTCCCCTGCCACGTCTACCGGGCTCTGCCCACTCGGCTCACCTGCGGCCCTGAGATGCCCACTGGCTCTCAGCAAGCTGCTGCTGGGGGCGGGGTGGGGAGAGGCAGTTGTTTGCCCAACTCCAATTCACTCACTATGTTTAAGAACATTTCCTAAGAGAGCTTTAAAACCCAGACTTCAGTTCCAACTATGGTAAGTTCTGGGCTTGAGTCCAGTCCTGGTTCTCCACTCTGGGCTCCAGGTCCTGGGCTCCTGTCTGTGAGGATCTGAGGCTTGTTAGAGAACTTAGATCTCAGAAGAGAAGAGGGGCTTTCTCAGGAAATCATCAGATTCCCGGGAGGCTCCTGGATTCCTAAAGGGCCATGGCCCTCCTCTCTGCCCTGCTCTCCGCTTCAGAGCTGGGACCCGGACTGGGTCAAGGTTTTGACTTCGCAGCAGGGCTGGGTGAGATCCAGATGGGTTTGTCAAGTCATTAGGAGAGGCCCTCATGTGGAGCTGGGCTCGGGGTGAGGCAGGGTGAGCATCACGACTCCTCCCTTGCATGTGCTGGGCTTCTCCAATCTGTTGTCTGGTTGGTCACCCCCTTAAGACTCCATGGTTTAACCCAGACGGCTGCCTTGCCCCAGAGTCATGCCCACAATATCTGAGTGCTCTCTCTTCCCTTCTTTTCATTCTAAGGTCCACTCTGCTCCTGTAGCCCTGATGGCAGGTGGGAGCAGGCAGAGACAAGTGGCTCTGTCCATCTGTTAGTGGGGGAGCTGGTCAGGCCCACCCTGGCTGCCCAGGACCCTTTCTAAGGTTCCCTTAGGACCCGTATGATACTGGAGTAGCTAAGGGGACGAGATGGGGCTTGATGGACTCAGTATACCTGATGGAGAGGGAGACAGCATGAGGGTGAGACCACCATGGGCCATGGGGACATGCACAGGGGTGCTCACAGCCCGGAGTTGGGCATTCATGGCCCTTCCATCCTGCCCCGAGATGCAGCTGAGCCCTGTGCCTCAGTTTGCTCATCTGTGTGATGAGGAGAGCTGTCTTCTCTGTGTCTAGCTCCTGCTCCAAAGCAGGTGTAACCAGTGGCTCTAGGATGTGCTGCTGATCAGCCAATGATAAAAATAAGCATCACCCCTTCCTGGAGAGAGACCAGCTGCCTCACTGGTGTCCCCCATGAGGCAGAGAGCTGGCCGCAGGCAGCTAAACTGTACACCAGCTCTCCTCGGTCAGCTGACTGCCCAGCCCCTTCGGACCTCTGAGGACAGCTGGACGAAGCCGGGACTGGTGACAGGTCTAACCTTGCAGCTCCTGAACTGGTGATAGAAGCTCCTTGGAACTGTCGTGGGAGAACTTTCCTTCTAGATATGTTTGCCTGTGAGCTGGCTGCCTGGGGCTGTGACTCAGGGGGAAGGGACATCACAGGCTATCTTCCCTGGTCTCTCAGCTGCTTGGTCTTACTCCCAATAAAGGGGTCGGCCCACTTGGATTTCCTTTCCCAGACAATACACAGCCCTCCTGCTTGGCCAGCGTGGCCAAAGGCATGGCCAGAACCCCTCTCAAGCTGCCCTGGGTGCTAAAACAGGGAGGAACCAGGCATCTGTGCTTA